AGAATTTTTCTTCCAGTTTACATATGAAAGAAACTTCTGTCCATATCTTTGTGAATAGTTTTTATTCGAGTTTCACAATAGTTCGAAGATACTATTATATAGCGAAACATATGCCGTTTTTTTGTTTTTGAATACGAAATTTTACCTTTTTCACCTCTGGATAAAAAAAGCCTTTCTAAGAGGCAATTAGACAAGTTTTTACATATAGTCAGTACGCATACCTACTTGAATATTGGCTATAAATCTAATCATCTAAAAGAACAATTCGTACGTAGGGAGTTGAGACCGGCCTGAACGAATTGTTCTTTTAGATGATTTAATAAGACAAGTGTCTTATTCCAAACATTGGATGTCCGCCATTGAGGATGACAGTGTTCCATATCTGATTCAATTCCATACCGAATGTTTGGAACATAAACTGAATAGAAAAAAGTGTTTTTTGTAATTCAATGTTCATAAGATTATTCAGATAAGTTAACAACAGACATCTAGATCCCTATGAGAACTTATAAATGAGTCAACATAATAATGTTATGGATATCGATGGTGGACCAATACATAATAGTTTACTATATAGCTTGTTGAAATAATATTTTTAGTCAGATTTACCTGACTATTACATAAAGCATGAAATTAATTTTAAGACAATTATGTCTCAGGGACCTAGCAGAGTTATCTGTGTCGTAGTTTCGAGAGGACTTTTCAACAGTCTGTGTTTGAAAGTTACTTCTTTCCATGATCTACCCATCTTTGTGAGAGTTAATTCTTTGAAATAGATTTTTTTTAATTTGAACAATTGAACAGTTATGACATCAGTTACCCCACGTAACAGAACATGTGTTTTCAATATTTCATTATGGATTCTAATGAAATATTATTATTAATCCGTACAAGTGAAATTAATACAAAGTTTAACAAGAAAACATGTCAAGTCTGGCAACACTGCATTGAGGAGGAGAAAGTATTAACAGATCAAATATAGAAAGGTGGGGATACTGCCAAGATCAGCTGGACATTCTTTCTACATAGTGTCTCCGTTTATTGAATCATTATTGATTAATTCGGACACTGTGGCTGTCATTCATATTTGTAAAGATGTTGATTATTAAGCATTGAAAAATTGGAAGAAATCTGTGGAATTCTGTATAATCCAAAAATTTTCAAGAGCCGAAAAAATTGTAATATAATAATAATAATCCGGTCCATCACAGAAGAGACTATACTTACTTCACCTAGGGGTGCAACAACCTCCGCGGAGAACTTTTTCCATGGCAAGTATCAGCACCAACTCCGACAGATCTGATCATTAAAACTGCAGCGGCGGCTCGTTAGAGGAGGCTTAGTCTCCCCATAAAATTTGAGGCTATTTATCGCAATAAATTAAAAGATATTGACAAATAATTATGATTATTTTTTTCTAAAAATGATTAGGTATCATTACTTTACCATTAATTTTTATTATAAATACATAATATGCCCGAAAAAACACTATCACTCACTACGTAGTACGTACCACACTGTATCCTGCATCAACAAAACTCAAACGCACCGCCCATAAACGAATAAACCATCAATCCGAAATAATAAATGAAATACGTTGCAAGGGAGCCAAGCCTCCGACCGCTTTAGAAAACAAAGGCTCCATGAGACCGATCCAACCAGCGACATACGTCCCGATTTGTAATTTCAGTTGCAGAAATTATAGCGTTAGAGGAGGCTAGCCTCCAGTTATTTCATGATGTTTCATCTGGGCGCACAGCTGACGATTTGTTTAATTTTTTAATTCGTACGTGTGACACCTATAATTTTAGGCAAAAGTTAATTTCGCAAACCTATGATGGGGCTGCGGTCATGACCGGCCATTTAAATGGTTTACAAACTAAAATAAAGTCCAAAGCTCCTCATGCACTTTTTACGCATTGTCATGCCCATGCCGTAACTTTAGTATTAAGCAGAGCATGCAACAACATAAAAATGTTCGCGCTTCCGACGGGCTTTTCTGTGTATATAGTATTTATGACTTTAGCCTCCCCTGTTCTCCAATGCACGAGCCGTCACTGTTGAAACTGTCGGGAAAGAGCACTGTTGGAAAAGTTTAATGGACTTGGGAGGAACTGTATCAACTCGTAGTGAAGACCCGAGAAATGTTGCATCTCCATAGGAGTTTGCATCCTAAATGTGTGATTTATAGCAAGTGTCGAGTCTAGGATCACACCTAGATCTTTGGTTTCAACAACTGAATGTAAGGTCCGATTATTTATACTATATTCGAAAGTGATTGGGTGATGTGTTCGATGAAAGCGAAGAATTTGGCATTTGGATGAATTCAAACACATACCGTTTTGCGAACACCAGTTAGATAGGCAATGTATATCCTTTTGTAGACACAATGTACCAGCTTCACTTTTAATTATTTTGAAACATTTTAAATCGTCGGCAAATAGCAAAGCTTCGCTTTCATGGAAACAGCTGATTAGATCTTTGGTTAAAAGGTTAAACAACAGTGGTCCCAAATGTGAACCTTGTGGAACACCCGAATATTCTTCAAGATGCCCCTCAATATATGACAAAGTAAAAAAAGATCCTTTTGCAAGCAAATCTACTGGGGAATTTTTCAAAATGTTCAGGATCATGCAAAAGGTGTGAGTAAAATATTCAATTTGAATATGTTTATTTCAAATACACTTTAAAATTTACAACATAATATGAATACGGAAAACCACTTTAGAACATAGTTCAAGAAAACATTGTGCTAATTTTGACTTGAGATCACATTCAAAAAACATCAAACTAAAAGTAAAAGTATAAATATATAAAAATGCGACAAGTAATATACAACAGAAGTGAAGAAACTTCGTCTTCTGCTTAGAAATATACAAGAGAATGCATCAACCTAAATGCAATAGATTATACAGTATCACAAGTTTATAATTATATATCGATTAAAACTCCTTTCAATAGTGATTACGTCCCATTTATACAAATCGCTCACCGTTGGAAACCATTTCAACAAAAACTCAGAAAACAGCTGCAAATATAAACATCATTATTTTTCAAAAACATCCATACAAAGTATTAGAGAAAACTCTACAGTATCAGCGGGATGACTCCATTAAAAACCTACACAAAAACTACAACATTAAAATGAACATATACAAATCATATGTCGTTATAGCACCAGTCTCCAGTTATCAGCACGTCAACAAAATCAGTAGAATATAACCCTGAAGATACTTGCAAGTATTTCTCCAGCCATCAATTTTCTAAATTTCAGAAGTGGGATTCGTTATAATTTGTTGGAATTGATTATCAAGTGAATATCGCTTGCAAACTTGTTCGATGCATAAACATGTGTCATCCACTTGGAATACTTGTGAAATTATAAACTTCTACAATAAATATCTCAACAAATATAAGGCTAGGATCGAAAACTCGTACCAAAAATTATTCACTTCGTCATATGTAATTTTTTACGAATGATTCAGAAAGCTGTTTTCAAATACTTGCTGTGAGATTCAAACACTGAAATCTCGAAAATGAAACAGTCGAGAATGGTAAGTAATTAATTTAAAAAAATATGCATCAACTGAGCAAAAACGTTTTTTCTAACTCACTGTCAAAATCAAGAATTTCGGTGGACATGGAGTAATTTCTTCCAAGCATACTCTGTATTTATTTTCTTGCGAAGTCAGATTTCAAATGGATCTTTTTTTCAAGAAATATTAACAGACACTCCTGAAATTTTCGAAAGGCAAGAGCTGTTGAAATATAATGATTTATATATGTGTAAATCTTCGATGTAATGACGTGATTTGACACTATTCTTTGAAGCTCCTAAATGAAATATATACTATTACACACGGCCATATTTTTGGAGCAACTTATGAAAATCAAATTATTCAAGTGTTATATCATCCTCAGCTCCAGTAAATACATTCATTGGCACTAGCTCCCATCTACTGATGAGGTATTATAAACTTTTCTTTCTGAATATCAATTTTGATTGA